GTTTACTGTTGTAATTTTTCCAATTAAGGGAGTATACAGTATTATGACGAGGTGATATCTTGCTTCTGTTTTGGCAATGTGCTAAAATGTCCAAATACTCTTCAATTTTTAACTGATCCTTGCATTTCTTAATTTATAGGTTCTTAAGAAGCAGGCTGGTCTAAAGCTTCAAGATAATGTAATTAGTTCTTCCTTGTTATTTATCCTTTCAAATTTCATCATCTTACTTATCCAAAAACATATATGTAATGTCTTTTGTGTAAATAAATTTCCCAATCATTAGCAGCCCCTTCATTTATTGATAAGATCACACAGCGTGTGACACAAGACGTTGAGTCTAGGTTCACTACGACGATCAAGAACCTAACGGCACGTGTTTTGTTCTTAGAGTCACAGGGTGTGGCTGGGAGTATGAGCTTGAGAGAGGTGCAATACTTACAAATTAACGAATTTTACGTTTTATCAATTTGTATATATACATATGGAAATTATTAACACATTATACTAACATATTGTAGGTGTCAGATGCATCTAGTGGGCAACAAGCTTCAAAAGAAAATGAATAGGTATGCCACTCTACTATATTTCTGCATGTATTTATAATATTTGTTGTGTATGAAGTTCTTGAAGGATATCACTATATTTCTTTAGACTGTAATCTGATTCAATTGCAAATGGGTTTTCTTCAGAGACATCATCTTCTTCTCCTTGTCCTTATACATTCCATTCTTTTCCTCTCTTATCAGGTCCAATCTCTAGGTAATCTCTCTCTCTCTCTCTCTCTGTTATATGTATATGTGTGTGCTGTTTGTTCAATCTGGATCCCTTATATTGTTCAAGTATCAGTGAATTTGTATCTGTTTTGAGAATGGGTCTTTTTCTTGGGATAGAAATAGATATGGCAAGATCTGAACAAAGTGATATGTATAAAGGGTATGCATGATTATATACTGATTTATCTAGTAAATGAGTAAGACATGTGTCCTATCGGAACTTGAACCCTGTCCATACTGCTTTGGAGGTGACAGGAGATGCCACTCAAGCTAAGATAGGGTGAACTTTTTCACATTAGGATGGTACTTCAATTTGGCATGTTGTCTTTTTATTTATTTATTTAATTGAGGGTTAGTTGATCCCACTTGATTGGTACACAAAGCTTAGTTGGGTTGGGTTTGGCTATTTATTTGATTTAGGGTATTAATCTAGCAATTTCTTTGGGGTCAATACTTTTTTAGTAAATCCTTTTGACTCGATAACTTAATCATTGAACTATTACATTGCACTGGCTTCGCACTTGGGAATCTCTTAGTGTTAGGTCATTAAGTCTTCAACTAATTTATTTGCTATATAGATGGCGTATCTGTTAACTTTTTTTCCTTCAAAAGTTTTGACTTGTCAGTCAGCAAGATGAGATTCTATTACATGTTTTGGGATTAACTAGAACTCTTTCCGGTAATGTTTCTGGAGACCATTAACTCCTTGCTAAAGCAGGACATGGGGATATGGGTCAATCTCATGTGAGCCCTCTCTGTACCCCAAAAAAAAAAAAATGTTTATAATTGTTAATCAGCAAAGTGAGGTTTTGTTGCTTGTTTTGCAATATATACTACAAGGATCTTCCATTTTTTTTTTTAATGGAAACTGTCAAAAAAGTCCTACTTTTCCCATAAAAGTAAACCACTAACTCATATTAACAACACTGTGTTGATAGGGTTGAATCATATGTTAATAGGATTCAACAGTACTTTTATGGAAAAAGTAACTTATTGGGAATTTCCCCTTTTTTTAAATCATATTCATCATTTACCTAGAAAGCAAGTAACATGCATATGCATAAAGGGTATGCATGGTGCTTTTGGAGCATTCCCATTTAGGGGTGACTCAATACCTATGTGATTATGTGTTTAATATTTTTGGCTGCATTTTGGTAGATCCTTCCAGGTGGATACTTACATTATATATTTTAAGTTAGCCTTAGGTGTGTGTTTAAAGCAGTAATATAGACAATGGGCTGAAATATTTCTCCTTTTGTGGTTTGATTTGAAGGAGCCTCTTGTTCATCGAATACCTAAACTGTTGCGAAAACCAGAAACATTTTTCTGTAGATTGAACCAGCCATTTTATTACTTTCTGAAAAACAGGTTAAGTTGATTGCTTTTATGAATAGTTACAAATTAAGGAAAGGTCAGTATGTGTTGTGTATGAGCTTGATTGTTTGAATTATGTGCTTCTCCCATTGATGAAGAGAACCGTCCTCGGATTCAATCTTTTCATAGCATTTGTGTGAAGGACTGTGTTTGGTTAGTTGGTTTAAGTTTTTTTATTTGTATGTTTTTCTTTCCCTTCTGTATTTCATTTTTGTGCCACAGATATCTTCTTGTCCAGACTTCTAGTTTTTTATTCCATAGATGCATGAACAATGTTGTTGGTCTTATTTTTGCTCATCATTTTTCAAAATTTTACAGTATTCTCTACATTTTTGTAGGATAGCTTCTTCTAAAATGACAAAACTGAAGAAACTGAAGAATGACATTCCATTTCTTCCCGGGAAATCTTTTTTCAGATTCTTATTTTCCTTCGTGCAGAGTTTCTGCATAACTGTGGGAGATATGTGAGCAGGGCTTGGTCAAAAATTATATCCAGAGTTTGGTATGCTATATAATTCTGGTTACCTTGAGCTTAATGAGGGAGACTTCAAAATTACCATGAGCTTAATTTTGGTATGCCATATAATTCTGGTTACCTTGTTCTGGACAAATGGTCTCTGGTTGTGGGGGTTTATCACTATTTTTTAGCTCACATCCTAAAAGATTTCTTTATGTTGGGAATCATGTGACAATGCAGTATGGAATGGAGAACAAATGCATGTAAATGAAGGAGCTTTTCCCCTTGTCATATTGCTTTCATTTCTTGCACTAGGGAGTACAAGGTGTTATGCCAGTTCATTGATAGAGTGGAGAAACACCCGAGCAAGAAAATTGATGAGAAGATTGGCCAGTTTTGGATTGTATTTTTTTTCATAAAAGAACTTTTTCTAAGTTTTTAGTTGTAATAACTTTTACATATGGCTCAAATTTTGAGACTCAAATAGAATGTTCAATCAAACTATAATGCTATACTGTCTGAATTTTTGTCATTGTTATTCCTAGAGTACTTAACGCTACACTTTTATTTATTTATTTATTTGTTTGTTTTATTTTTATTTTTATTTTTATTTTTTGTGACGGTAACAAGATAGTCGCCAAAGATCATATTAGTGTTTTTCTTTGTTTTTTGCGACGGCAAAATAGCGGTCACCATAAGTAGTTTAGGTGGTCGCAAATAATTTGCGGCCGTTGCTTTGCCGTCGCAAAAAGTATTTGCCACCCCCATATTCGCGACCCCCATTTGCCGTCGCATGGGCCGTCACAAAAAGTCTTTTGCGACTGTTTTTTATTATTTGCGACAGTTTATAGCGGTCGCAAAAAGTGTTTTTTTTAGTAGTGACAGATGCGTTTGTAACCCGATTCAAAACAAACACCAAGATGCCCAAGGAGGTGGACAACTTGTTGGCGATTGACATGGGGCCTGGGAGATGTCGAAGTCATAGAAACAGATACTAGGAGACAATCATGAAATTGACGAGTATCCTTCCAACTTGGCCACTGCTCAGTATAAGCGCGGTTTGCCAATTGGGCATAGACTAAAGGACTTGCTAACAATGATGCCACCCTTGACCATGGAAGCATTAATGGAAAGGTTTAACTAGCACATAAGGGTTAAAGAAAATGTTGCCCGGGCAAAAGTAAAGACCAACCCAGTAGTGGCAAACAAAAAGGCTACGACCAAGGTTAACATTGTTGGAAGGGATGGAAATAAATAAGGAAATCGTATGTAACAATCGTAACATGAGAAATCACAGTAATAATAACCAGGCTAATCCACCCTAGAATGATGAAGAGGAGAAAGTGAGGAAATTGAATGCCCATGCGACTATCATCACAGTCTTCAAGAAACCCATCTACTGAATCCTAAGCAAAATCTGTGATGAGCCCTATGTCTGATGCCGACCAAGTTAGGTGAGGCGCAGAGGGGTTATGATGACAAGTACCGTTGCACCTATCATGATGAAAGAAGGCACCGCACTAAATATTGTGTGCCACTCAAGCAACACTTCGAAGAATTAGTGGCGGTTGGCCAATTAGATCGTTTCATTAAGGGAAGAGTCAGAATGGCTCCTCAGAATCAGAATATACCAAATGGCTTGCCACTTGGAGACGCTCCCCCTTAAGGAGTCATCAACATATTCCATGAGATCATTGAACCTAAACAAGTTTGTGAGCTCAAAGGTATGATAAAAAATGCTGAACACATGAGGGAAGTACTTAGTGTCCAACCAGCCCACAAAAAAATGAAGGCGGAGGAAAAAGATGTGATATCTTTCTCCAACAGAGATTTGGCAATGATTCAGACTCCCCACTGAAAAATCTAAAAATCCCCTAGATATTGATTTGTGATTATGTATCAATTTTAAGAAATAAAATAACAATCCAATCAAACAATCAAGGACAAATCAATACAACGATTTTAACGTGGAAAAATCACAATTTGAGCGCCTCCAATTTGACAAAAAACTACGGGCCAAAGCCATAAAACAATCCACTAAGAAGACAAAAGGAATTACACAAGTATACTCTCAATTACCTAGCGAATCCACGCCCGAATTGAACCGACCCCTATATGCCTCTTCCACCACGGTCTTTACCACGGAACTGTCTTGCTCAATGTTGAATCCACAATGTCAATGTTGAATCCATGACGATGAGCCACTCCAGAATCCACTAAAGCTTCAGGCCCAAATTCCACGGAATCCATCGAAGAACAACTCTCTCTTTTGTATTGAATGGAACAAACAATCCTTTGATGTATTCTTCTCAAACCATGAGTTAAACTCAAACAAACATCAAAGAAACTAACAAATAAACTCTAGAGGAAAACCCTAATATCCAAGAAGAAGATCTGGCAGCTGTAACCCTAAACTCGGACTGAAACACATATTTATAGAAAATAGGCCATAATTCTCGCTCGAGCGAAGGAATGCTTGCTCGAGCGAGGAGACTAAAATGCCTGTTTTTCAAGTGTTCTTCGTTCGAGCCACCAAAGTGTTGCTCGAGCGGGAAATGCAACTTCTCAGTATTTTTACAACCAATGAAAACTTCTAGGACCAAAGATTCTTTGCTCGAGCTCACACTCCTTCGCTCGATAGTGACCAAACAATTTTGACTGCAATTTTTGCTTTTGGCTTTAGGGGCAAAACATCACAAACTTCTCTACAAAGCACAATTCGGGTTAGATTCGCATCTAAAAATCATAGCCTCACTGAAATAAAAAGACCAAATAAAATTACAACTGAAAGGAGTTTTGTCAAACGGGATTGCCAAGAATAAAAATATAACACCCACAATGATGTGTTAGTTGTCACGCTACGAGTCAAAAACTTTGACTTGAAAAGGATCCTAATCGATTAGGGTAGCTCAGCTAAGATCATGTACTACAATACGTTTAAGCAACTCAAGTTAAACAGAGAAAGACTTGGCCGCAACCACATCTCCACTAGTCAACTTTAACTCACAACCTGAATGGCTTGTAGACAGATAAACACTGCAAGTCAAAACGGGCTCAATAATCAACCAAGTGGAGTTTTGGGTGTTGAAAGTCCCATTCACCTACAACATTATCTTAGAAGAGCGTGATTGCACGCAATACAAGCGGTATCACCAACATTCCATCAGGTGGTTCAATTTCCCTCAGTATCAGGGAGAATTGAAAAGGTCTTGGGAGATCATATTATGTCAAGCAATACTTCATCATAGTAATTTGGCAGCAGGGCTACACAAACTTTGTTCAAATGATAGAAAAGCCCAAGGACAAAGAAATCTTTGATGACGTCGGTAAGGAGGAGGGGGAAATGGTTGTTGAAGAACTTATAGAGGTAAGGGTTGATGAAATAGAATAACGATCTTGAAATTCTTTTGTTAGGCTCATCTTTGCTAGCAACGAAATGAAGGAAATCATGGAGGTGTTTGCTTGGACGCCTTATGATATGGAGGTGTTTGCTTAGACGCCTTACGATATGCATGACATTGATCCACGCTTCATCTGTCATTAACTTTAATGTCTTCCCCGATGGCCAGAGTGGTCATCCAGAGAACTCATAGGTTAGCATTGCACCATGCAAGGTAATGGCTGAGGGAAGTGAAAAAATCTGTTAAATGCAAGTGCAATCAAGGAAGTCCATTACCCTAAATAGATTTCTAACACAGTCGTTGTTACAAAAAAGAATGGCAAATAGCGCATCATGGTTGGTATGATTGTACAAGGCAGTGCAACTATAAAGCATAGCCACAGAGATAACTGTTCTCTATTAAGGATTGGATCGAAATTGTGACTTCTACATAACCGATTCATAACCATTTGAGCTTTCTAGATGCATATCATGGATATCATCAGAGCACCTATGTACGAACCGGACTTAAGAAATCACGTCTTTCACAATTCTAAGGGGGTGTTATTGCTACAAGGTTATGCCTTTTGACTTTGAAGAACACAGGGGCAAACCTTCTAAATGATGATCACAAATGTTTACCCCTTTGTAGCAAGAACAATGGAAGCATACGTTGATGATATTAGGTGTCAAACACAAAGTGAGTTGGATCATTCTTCAGCGACCTTGGCGCAGAAAATATTTATCCTGAAGACTCAACAAGCTAACATTTGAACGCCGATAAAAATGTGTATTTAGTGTGGGAAATCAAGGGGAATTACTAGACTTCTTTGGTGACCGACCGTGAAATAGAAGCAGGGCCCTTCATTAAATTAACCAATATCAAAGAGCTGAAGAGACCAAAAAACCTCCAAAGGAAAGTTGCAATACCTGCTGGTTGCGTTGGCAGGCTTTGAATAGATTTATCAGCTGATCTTTCAACTGATTGCCAAAACCATTTTTTCCAAACTCATAAATCAAAGTTCTTTTGCGAATGAGAATGCAATCGCACTCTAAAGGAACTGAAAAAAATACTTGTCATTCAACCCCACACTTGGTAACTCCAAAGCAAGGAAGGAGTTTTTTCTCTAGCTTGCATTTCTCAGCACGCTGTTAGTGCAGTCTTGTCCATGCAGAAAGTATACAACACTGCCAACTATTCTATGTAAGTAAAACTTTTGCTCGCGCAAAGACCGGGCTACCTATTCATCTGGAGAAATTGCCTTAGCTTGATGATGGTATTTTAGAAAGTTAGCACATTAACTTTCACACGCATACAAAATCATAGTGCTGACCGAATCTCCATTGAAAGCCTTTGCCTTGAAATGACCAATTTTTTAGAAGAA